CGGGCCGGGAGGGAGGGAAGGAGGCAGGGAGGGAAGGGAGCCGCTCCGCAGCGGCCGGACGAGGGGCCAGTGCGCTGGCACCTTTTTGGGCCAGAAGGGTTGGCCTTTCCTGGAGCGGCGGCGGCGGCCGGGAGCAGCGAAGCCGCGGAGGCGAGGGAGCGCAAGACACGGGGAAGGAAAGGCGAATCTGCCTCCTGCCATGTGAAAACGGGTTTTTTGCTCTGCCCCCCCCCCATCTCAGGACTTCCTCACTGTAAGAATTTGGAGCGGAGTCGATTTCACGGCAGGCTCGCCGAAGGGACCCCTAAGTCGGGGGTCCAGCCTCATGTCTGACATGGACCTTGGGGGCCCCCAGATGTTCCTGGACTGCAGTTTCCCATAAGCCTTCACCACCAGCTGTGCTGGCCGGGACTTCTGGGAGTGGTAGTCTGAGAACATCTGGGGACCCAAGGTTGGGAAGCACTGGTTTAGAACATGTGCAGAGTTCTTGTCACTGTCGCTACTCCGCCAGTAAGCTTAATAAAACCGTTCACATCTGGGGTTATCCTGGTGGCAGGAAAGGGAGGTTCAGACGACACAGGAAGATCCTCAGTGCATGATGTACACCAGTTGCCCGGGGAATCATGGGATTTTTAGTCCAGAACAGCTGGAGGGCGTCGGATTGGCCGCCGCAGGTAGGCAGCGTGGGGAACATAACAGGGTCTGAGATCTCTGGTCAATGGAGAGAGAACTGTTTGTATAAGTATAATAATTGTGTGCTGTCAAGTCAATTCTGACGTATGGCGACCCTTTCCATGTTTTTCTAGGTAGAGAAGAATCAGAAGTGCTTTCCCCTTCTCTTTTTCCAGGGGAGCCCTGGGACCTCACAGCTTGCCCAAGGCTACGCAGGCAGACTCTTCTAAGATGCACAGTGGAAAAACTGAATTCCCAGATACCTAATTCACTGAGCTATCCAGCCAGCTAATTGTTTCTATAGATATTATTTTATTAAGTATTGTTTTATGCATGTTGGATGGCCTGTACAGAGGCAGGAAAGAACAAGTAGGGTGGGGGAGAGAAAAAGCCATCAAAGATGAGAAGGCTTTAAATTTTTCAAACTTTTTCCTGCTCTAGAGAGTTATAGCAGTTTGATACTAATTTAGCGGTTGTGGGTGCAGCTTATAGAGACCCGGAATTCTTTCTTGTTATTCAGGCGAGCTTCTCTAGCTGAGAATTCCACTGCCTTCTTGTGACAACAAACCCCGCCGTGATATCACAGGAAGGAGTAACACTGAAGTGTCATAACTGTACCTTTGCGCTCTGGGTTCCTTCCAAGGAATCCCATCAACAGGGGCTTCATCTTCCAAGAAAGCCTGTGTAAGGAAAACACTGCGCCAGGTGTGGGCCACCCGCCAGGATATGGAAGCTCATCGCAGTCCCACGTGGGCGTTTAACGTGCGCTCAGGCACATTCTGAATGGTGCCCCTTTTCCAATGGCAGAGGAGTGAGCCCAAGGCCACGACTGGCTCTTTTTCAAGGATGCGTGCTTGGCCGCCATGATGAGGAAGTCCAGGATTCCTGTGACCAGAAAGCCATCTGAACACCACTGTTGGAGAGAGGCTTGGGAGCTGAGCAGACGTTGCCTTGTGGTGGTGCCGCACTTGCAGGAATGAAATGGTGTCCAGGAGTTCCAAAAAAAGGGTAGAGAAATGTGGATTGTCAAAAGGTCCATATTATCTCCGAACTGGGCCTTTTCTCTCTCTCTCTCTCTCTTTCTCTCCTTTCTTGAATGGTGTTTCATTTCTCCACCTTCTGCTGGTCTCTCCATCTTCCCACAGCGATCCTCTCTCCCAAAAGTGGGCCGCAGTGGGGCACCACTTTGCAAGACAGAGCTAGACTCAGGAAGAAAAAAATGATTTTTTTTTGGGGGGGGGGAAGAATGGCACACCCTTAGCCAGGCTATGAGGTGTTTTCCAAAAAAAACCTAACTTTTCTTGTAGCTCTGAGGCTGAAACAGAGAGACCCTTTTGGGGAAAGGAGAGAGGGAGAGAGCAGGGTTTGAAGGCCGAAAAGGCCCTGGGAGAACATGGTCCCACATGTGTCCTAGTTTCTGGGCCACGTGGCGCTCAAGTGTGACCCATGGCATACAAATCTGTCCCAGGGCAAGTTAGTGTTTAATCCATGCTACAAGGGCAGCAGCGGTAGGAGTTGAGGGCCCGGAAACTTCCGTTCCCCTCCTCTCCAAATGTGTGTGGGCACTGTGTTTGGTGAGTAAACAAACCCAACGGTCAGGGACCAGCGTGAGTGGACAGGCAGCGGTGGCGGAGGATAAAGGTTGAGGCGATGGCCCTGAAGGGAGACCATGAGAACTAGAAGGGTGTCTTCCTTGTTTATCCCTCCAACCCACATGGTTCTTCTTGGTCAAGGATTTGCAAAGAACCTCAGGTATTCCTAAATGTCGGCCACATCGTTGGACTCTTTGACACTGAACCACTGAATAACCTCGCCAAGCTTGAGAATAAATTATGCTTTGGACTACAGCGTCCAGAATCCCCCAGGCAGATGAAATAGTTTGTATTCTGAACTGCTTATGGCATAGCACAGCATGTTGCAAGTGATTCTACTGCAATCACCCAACATGGAGGCAATAGTGATCTGCCCTGATCCAAGTTGAAATCCTTTCTGGACCCTTTCTCACCATCTGATCACACTTTGTGTCAACATTTCATTCTGCACTTGTTATAAATTCAGAGTGCTTCAGGATCTCCTGAGTTGTTGGAGGGAATTATTGGATCTGTTTGGAAATCCAAGCTAGTAACCATGATATAGAAACGCTTAGTGATCTTTATAAGATAGATATTCAAGAACCTAAAGAAATATGGAATGAGAAGTAGAATACAATCTAAACAATGGGAAATTGTAATGGTATCTATATAGGATGCTTCCCTGGATTTGAAGATTGAGCCAATAGCATATTGAACTCCACACTGGTTGATTAGAAGTGATTGTCAAACTCTGACAGATGTGAAACTGGAAATGCATGGTGGACGCATATGTTCTGGACTTCTCCAGTAATACATTTATTTTGGATTGAAATTATCACGTGTATTAATACTGTCTTGGGGAAATGTTTGGTGTTTCTGGATATTGGTGTTCTCTTCCATTATATCTCTGTCCTATGAGGTTTTAAACAATGGGCCACAAAACTGGACAATAGGGGCCCTAATGGTGGCCAAGAAGCTTATACTCCAAGTTTGAAGGATAAATATTCAACATCCACTACACAGTGTTTGGAGGATCTGTTAGCACTAGCTTCATTTGAACAAGTATCATACAGTATCAGTATTTCATGAGGATGTTGACTTGAACATCAGGAAGGCCTACACTGATTTATATGCCTGACAGGAAATGTACAGCACATAGCAATGGTTATAGCTATATTGTAAATTTTACAATGGTGGTTTATAGTTAATACTGACATTACTGCATTTACCTTTCCACTTTTTTTTTTGCTTATTCCTTTGTAAGCTCAGTTTATTTTTGGGTTTGGTTTTTTAAGTTAAATCTGCAAAAGGGAAAAAAGGAAACAAACGAAGTAAACTTCTGTTTCTTGGGTCTTTGATTTCATCTTTCCAGATGTTTGTGGTCCACCAAGTTTAATCTTACCTTGCAAAGGGGTTGTTATCTAGGTTGCACAGACCACCTCCATCGTTCGTGGCATTGCTCAACATGCATCAAATTGGAAGTGCCCAAGAAAAATGTCTGGAGACAAGAATGCCATGTTTCAAAGGGTGGGTTGCCATGCGCTCGTGCGCGCGTAGTAGACGTGAGAGTAGGGGGTTGTCAGCAAAGTTTAAAGGCCTGCTTTTAGATAGATATTCAAGAGGATCAGGCTGTCAATTACGGATAAAGTAACCCGGCAGGCGTGATTAGTCATCATGTATAGACTTCCAGGATCAGATGCACTCTTCCATACCAGTTGCACCCTCGTCAGACGGTGTCTTTAGCTCTACGTTCTGCTTGTGGGCTTCCCAGAAGAAGCCTTTGATCTGATTCAACACAGATGTTTTTGTATTTGTCGGTATGCATTTTCAAAATAAGTTTCCCAGCTTTATGACCATGTCTTGGGCTTACTTTATTTTTTTAAAAAAAATATGCCACATCAACTGAAACAGCATTAAGAGCCCCAGTTGAGTTGTTCAAGCAAAGAGATGTGTACCAGCTTCAGAAAAATATTTCCATGCAGCAGGAACGACAGGACGATGTGTCCCCCCCCCCCTTGGGTTTGTTCATTAGGGAAATCAGAACAGGAGGGCAGGAGACCTGTTGTAAACTATGACATGGGCTTGCAAACCCCAGGATAAATTGATCGTTAGAATCTTTAAAAGTCCTTTATTATGTGCTGTAAAGACATGGTTCTCAACTTTTTGCCCTGCATGTATTTTGGGTTTCAGCTCCCTGAATTCCCTAGTCAGCATGGGCATAGGATTCTGGGAAATGTAGCTGGAGGTTTTGGGAGTTGTAGTCCAAAATCTCAGGAAGGCCAGAGCTTAAAAACCATTGTGGTAGAGCACACGGCAGAATGAAACAGGGGGCATTTTAAGTTCCTGTGTTGACTGCTCGTATGACTTGTGTTGGGCTAGTTTTAGCCTGTAAATTTGTACTTCCTTGCCAAAATGGCCCTCTATTAAAACTAGGGTACACTTGAGCTTGATGGGGAATGGTTGCTAGGCAACAACCATGGCCTAGTTGCCTCCGAGCTGCCAAAATCATTGGCCAGTAATTAGGAGGCAAATACTTTTAGCATCTCCCAACTAGACAGAGGTGAATTCAGTTGAATTGACCCATCTCTCCCCCCCCCCAAATCCCTGGAGATGGGTTGAACATTTGATAATTTCATTTGAAATAATTTTGGTTTAATTGTTTTCCTTTCGGAGACCTTGAGTATTGGGAAACCAGGGATCTTCTCAGATCTTGACACAAAATCATATGTGTAGACGATTTGCCATGGGAAAACACAACAGAATAACATTTGTTTTAATTATTGTTCTTGACAAAAACAAGGAAAGAGAACCAAAATTGCTGTCCTGAATTGCCTCTAAAGTATGATATATTAAATCAGCTCGTAACCCTTTTTCCCAACAGAAAGCACAAATATTTAAATATATAGCCACTTTTTAGGAGAGAAAGGAAGGAAGGAAGGACGGAAGGAAGGAAGGAAGGAAGGAAGGAAGGAAGGAAGGAAGGAAGGAAGGAAGGAAGGAAGGAAGGAAGATAAACCCCTTTAGGATGATAGTCTCTTTGCTCCTCTTCAGGCTGAAGCCTACATTGTCTTCAGGGTAACCAAACCCCTGTAGGTGTATATATATATTTAATCTCTGTGTAACAATAAAGTCTGGCAAGAATGATTCTGACCTAAAAAAGTGGGTTTGAGAATCCCAAGATACAAGTCCAACCGTCAACTTGTAACATCAGTATTGTGACAGAAAAGTCAACTGTCCAATCCTAAGGCGATAGTCCTCAGCTTGCTTCGATTTGCAGAAAATTTCCATAACTATGTCCCCTTCCCCCCACACACACCACATATACATGCAGAGACACCTTCACATCGGGAGGTAACCAAGCATCTTGAGTAACTGTCAAATTCGGGCCGGAGTCCATCATTTTCAAGATGGCGGGATTGGCCCTTGAGAACCCAAATGAACAATCGTCGTCTAGTCGTTTAGTCGTGTCCGACTCTTGGTGACCCCATGGACCAGAGCACGCCAGGACAATAACGGACAATAAACTGTGCCAAAGTGGAGATGAATCTGTGAACACCAGTCTTAACCAGCTGGCCGTTGGTGGAGAGAAGGAAGGCACAGGCTTCTTGCTCTTTATGGACTTTTGAAATGAAGATCATGGAAGGAACTGTTGACCACCGCAAGCAAATGGCGGCGTTGAAAGCATGTGGTCTGTTAGTGTCCTCTGAGCAGCTGCTTCCTTCTTCCTTCTGGCCTTGCTGTGAACGGTTGGCCAAGCCAGAGGACGTCTTTGTTGATGGTCTTGCTGGAGGTTGTTTCAGGGCGAGGCCCGAACCTTATTTCTCTAACCTCCCTGCTTCTTTTCTTCATGTTTTCTTTGCAGTCCCGACAAGGCCACAACCTTACGAAGCATTGAGCAAGGAGCGGCTGTACAAGCTCTGGTAGTAGGAGCCGGTCTCGCTGAGCGAAGTGGACGTCTCGTAGGCATGCTTGCTTTCCACCGAGTGGGGAGAGTTGTATCCGCTGTAGGCCATCGCCTGCTCGTAGGACTTCAAGTCGATCTTGTGACTCTGTTCAGTGGACATCAAGTTGGTGATGGAGAAGGGGTGGTTGAAGTTGAACTGAGGGTCCATTTTGAGGTCACTCGGGAGATCCAAGTTAGTGATGGAGGTGGCAAAATAGTGGCTATTCATGGACTGAGAGATGGGGGCTGGCGAGGCCTCCGAAGCTGGGGACGAGCCTTGGCCACCGGAACAATCAAGTTGGACCAAATTTCTTTGCTGCTCCTCCGAGCCGTGGGACGTGTCCGAGTGTCCAGACTCCGCTCCTTCTGAGCCTGTGTTGGGGCTCTGGCCTTCCTGAAGCCCTTCTTGAATCTTGGAAGCCTGCTCTTGTGTGTTGGAAGCCTTCGTGTTGGGCTTCTTGGCCTTGTCCTCGATTTTGAAACGCTTCTGGCGCCTCAGATAGCAGCCGTTTTCAAACATGTTGCCAGAGTTTGGATGGAGGGCCCAGTAGGAACCTTTGCCCGGCTTGTCCGGGGAACGGGCCACCTTGACAAAGCAATCATTGAAGGAGAGGGAGTGGCGGATGGAGTTCTGCCAGCGTTGCTGGTTTTCGCGATAGTAGGGGAAGAGGTCCATGATCCATTGGTAGATCTCATTGAGGGTCAGCATCTTGCTTGGGGCCTGCTGAATCGCCATCGTGATGAGAGAGATGTAAGAGTAAGGTGGCTTGGCGTGGGTCAGCGTGCGGCGGTACGACTTGCTGATCTCCTTAGGCCTGTTCATGCTGGACGGTGAGTAGCCCAGAGGGGCCATGGACTGGCCGACATTTTGATAAGGTGACAGAGAATTGAGAGTGGGGGCTTGAGCGCCCAACGGAGTCAGCACCGGACTGACGGGTGAAGTCACTGAGGGGAGGCCCATGGGACTGCTGGCGTTGGTTAGTCCAGTAAGAGAAGGGCTACTCAAGCTGCTGTTTGGGTAACTCATGTTCATGGAGCTGGGGGAAGTCAAAGGGTTCAAGGTCACGTAGGAGTTTATAGAGTTCATCGGTCCCAAGCTTGACGTCATCGTGCTCACCGAAGGAAACACCTAGAGGACGCAAAGGGAGACGGTCAAGAGACTTCAGTTGCATAAGGAGACATAGAACAGAGTAAGGGCCGAAGCTGCAGCTGCCCAGGAAATCAAGAGACAAACCATCTCCATGTCATTAACAAACAAAAGACAGCAGCCCTAGTTGACATTCTTGCATGCCACTGCCAAAGATGTAAGCCCTTTCCACTAACAAACAAAGGTGGCAGTGACTTGTGTATTTTCCCGAAATATGAAAATGAAAATTCACAAAATTTGGACAGCTCGCAGAATCACTCAGCCAGCATAGCTGGGTCACTTTGGTCTTGCCAATTGTTTGCTCCTAACTGTCTTGGCCTTGACTTCAGAGTGTTACCATCCTAGACCTTTCGCCAAGCTCTGGATCACCCCCATCCCCATGCGAAGGACACCTACAGAGTGGAAAGCAAGAGAAAGACAAGCTGCTACCAACCAATAGGAAAAAGCTCCCTCTTGTCTCATGGAGTTCCATAGGACGAATAGCCTGTTTCTCTCTTTTATCAGAGGGATCTGTCTCTATGGGAAGCCAACTCACTCCTAGGGCTGTGCTAGTGTAAGTCTTCCTAGCTTAAAAGAAGAGAGGAAACTATTTTTGGTATTTCCAGAACTCTCCACCCGTTAGGGGGTTCTGGATGCTGGAGTCCTTTCCCCACAAAAAAAGTTTGCCAGATTCCAAGAAGTTAGTGTTTGGGTCTATAAATAGCGATTTCTCTTTTAGGCACCAAGCACATTAACCCAACATTTACATGTGTCAAGAGATAAAGGGAACCAGCACCTGTTTGCTGTTGATCTAAGATAGGAGCTTCGCTGGCTATTGATATTCATTGAGAAGTAGGAGCTCCTACTGAGTGTTGGTTGGTACCAATCAATATACAGTAGCTTAATGTGACAAACCACTTCTGTTATAGAGCTTAAACCCTAGAATCTATTCACAGGAGGACTCTGCATGTGAATGGGATGTAGGGGAAGGAAGTTGACCAGCTAGTAGAGGGTAGGGCTTCGACTAACGTTGCCAGGATTAATCCCATCCAGGGCATCCCCATGCATACGACTCCAGGCAAAGGAAGATGAGTATTTTCACAGGAGGACTCTGCATGTGAATGGGATTTAGGGGAAGGAAGTTGACAAGTTAGTAGAGGGTAGGGCTTCAACTAACATTGCCCAGATTAATCCCATCCAGGGCATCCCATGCTTACGACTCCAGGCAAAGGAAGATGATCATTCAAATTTAATCAATATTGGTATCAGGCTTTGCCCACCTGAGTGTCTACAGATCTTGTCATTCTCAGCCACTGGCCATACCAGCTGAGGATAGCGCGAACTGTAATACAAACCAAACAGGAAGGCTGAAATCTGTACTTAAACAACCTTACAGGAGAGCAAGCTCCACTGAACTTAGCAGGTTTTGTGGAGTTGCTCTACATGGTGATCATTTGTTGTACATTTACATGGGAGCAAGGCCAACATAGGACACACTGAGGTCTATGTGCATATGACTGGAGCCGAGAGTCAAGCGAAGCACGCTGGTGACCGACAGTTGATGCTTCAGCGTTAAAGTTGGAAAAACTTGAAGGGATGCAGAAATTCAGCACGGCACCCTCGCTTTCTGGGTGTTCCTGCATACCACAGACCTAATCACAGTGGTCTTTACAACAGGCCTGTAAACAGGCGAGCATTATTGTCCCTCTATTGCAGGTAGTCGGTGGAAGAGAGCAGGTTCCTTAAGAGCCAGCTGGTTAGTGGGTTGAGTTTTGAACCCGGGATTTTCCAGCTGGCTTTATTAGGCACTAGACTGCACCGCACCGGCTCCTTTCTTCCTGTCGCTTCATGGACCAAATGCAGCTCACGTCAAAACCACCCCCATTGTTTGTCTAAGAACCGTTTACGGCCAGTTTCCCTGATACACACACCATCTGCGAAGTTCAATCGAAGCAAGGAGCTGATCAAAATGATCCTCTGTTCTCTCTCTCTCTCTCTCTCTCTCTCTGTGTGTGTGTGTGTGTGTGTGTGTGTGTGTGTGTGAGAGAGAGAGAGAGAGAGAATGCAGCGAGTTGCAGAAGTTGGGGTGCAGACCTTTAGGGGACGCAGAAACGGGTCCCGAAATAGGTGAAAGAAGATGGTTTCTCCCTGGGGAGGAAATTGCCCCACGCCAGACTCTTTTCTCCATCCTAGCCGGGGGGAAAGAAAACCTGGAAGAGCTGCTACTTCATTCTCATTCTGTAGACACATGTTAAGGCAGAATTCCTCCAGATGTTGGAGGAACCACTTGGCCCTCTTCAAAAGGGAACAAGATTGGAGAGCCATTGTCAGCTGCTGGTCAAGGGTGGCTATCTATCTATCCTTCCCCATTTTGAGAGGGTCTCAGCTGGGGCTTTAAAGATGGGGCTCACCGTGGCATTCATACCCAGGAGAAACAGACTCGAAAGGGACTAGAGAGGGTTTGTGTTGGGTGTAGCAGGAATCTCCTTTTGCTTTTACTATTTCATCCCTGGTCATCCTGGCAGGGGCTAAGGAGGTGGAGCCCAAAAATACAAACCCCCATCACACGGTCTTCCTGCAACCTGACATCTCCCAGATGTGTGAGATTACATTTCTGCATAGGCAAATGTTGGGCATTGTGTTCCGATCTCTCTCTGGGTCTGCCCTATCCTTCCCCATTTTGAGAGGGTCTCAGTTGAGGTTTAAAGAGGTTGGAAAGGAGGTCGTTTTAATGGCAGCTTTCCTTATGTGACCCAGGGAGGCTCAGAAACACCTTTGTCTAATGCCGTTGTTGGGATTCCTCTTTGCATCGTGAGATTCTCCCCGGTGACGGCCAGAAGCTGCAGAGCACAGCACTGGAGACTCTGTGCATGCTCAGAGTGTCACGTTTTGGAGGAGCACCAGGTAGAGGGTGTAGCAAGTCAGAGAAAAGGTTAAGAAAGCTGTCTTGACAAAGTCTGTCATTTGCATCTGTCAATAGCCACAATCTAAAGAGTGCCCTTTGGTCCTCTCCGAGACTGCCCCGCAGGACTTCTGACCTGTTTGCTTTGACCCGGTTATACAAAAGAAAATGGCCGTTATAGCGCTGTGGAGTTTCCAAAGCAGTTTTTCAAGCATTTCAGTTGTTTTGACAAGCAGGAGGCGGAGCACAACAATAAAAACGGGCTCAGTGCAAATGTAACCCTGATTAAGACAGAAACGGATGGCACCCCATTGTTTTCCGTGCTTCTCCCCTCTCCCTCCCCCCCCCATCTCTCCTTCTTTCTGTTTTGGAGCAAAGAGAGGTCAAACTCTGTTGTACGGAGACCACACCATTCTAGCTCAAATCCCATTAGCGTTTTAGAGACATGATTCCGGCAGAGCCTCGTATCTGAGAACTCGGATTAGCAGACAAAAAGTGGACGGAGCAAAGCCTGAGTCAGCAACCTGAGATCGAACACAGGCCGTCAACAGAGTCTTGGCTGCAGTCTTGCAACTTAATCACTGCACCACGAGGCTCTGTAGGCTAGGTTGAAATCCTTCTTTCTGTTTTGGAGCAAAGAGAGGTCAAACTCTGTTGTACGGAGACCACACCATTCTAGCTCAAATCCCATTAGCGTTTTAGAGACATGATTCCAGCAGAGCCTCGTATCCGAGAACTCGGATTTGCAGACAAAAAGTGGACGGAGCGAAGCCCGAGTCATCAACCTGAGATTGAACGCAGGGGGTCAACAGAGTCTTGGCTGCAGTCTTGCAGCTTAATCACTGCACCACGAGGCTCTGTAGGCTAGGTTGAAAGATCGCAAAAGATCAACTACAAAGCTAAGCAAGGAATTGTCCTGTTCTAATGTTGTGCATTCTGCAATATATAATAGTGATTCCCAGTCTGGTGTAATTGATGGACTAGGACTCTGGAGAACAGGGTTTGAATCTCTGCTCTGCCGTGAAAACACACTGGAGGAGTAGAAGTGGTAAGACCACTCCTTACATATCTCACTTATCTTGAAAGTCCACTTAGGGTCACTATTAGTTCTGACTTGACAGCACAGGACATACATCATATATAATTTGACCCTGAGTTTAGGCTTAAGCCTCCACTGGCGTTTCCACTCACCGTTACTGGTTACGGCTATTTGTTTTTAGTTTGCAATTGTCGTTATATTTTGGGTGGCGAACTGTGATTTGGGCTAAGGGTGAGGAGCGCATTCACACATGTATCTGCAGCTCCTGGGCAGAAAGGGGGACAATAGAGCATATGATCGACCAGTGGTCTCATCCTGTGGGAGAGCCAGACCTCTTCGCTGTTGGCGCAGGCTCCCACCTTCTCCTCCCACACAAAGTCCCTCACTCAGATGGCCACTTCTCCCATGGCTGTTTTCTAAAGAACCATGTTCAGGGCTGGGCCCAAACTCCAGAATGCCAACGTCAACACATCGCCGGCTCCTGCAGCAGCAGCGCATACCAGATGCATGGAACCTTAGACTGGTTTCTCTACCTGATGTGTCCTCCTCTATCTGCTTTAGCCCAGCTCCGGGTGTGTCCAGGCTGCAACTCCGTTTTTGTGGGCCAAACATCGTAAAAATCCTTTTTAGGATGAGTGGAGATTACCTTCCTCTTAACCAAGGTCAATTTCCCATTGTCTGCAAGAAAGCAGATGGCTTTTGAACCTCTTCCATTATCTCGGATTAAAAGGAACTATTTCAGGGCCGGGTTTTGAAACTCCCGAGTCACATGGTTTGAATTTACTAGGCTCCAGATAGTGCTGGGGATCCGGCTGGAAATTTTCCTCCGGTCGTGATTTCAGCCTTTGGGTGTAATCCATAGAGAAACTTCTTGAGCAGGTAGTGTTGCTGTGAAGCATCAATGCAGCGCTTTTACTCTGGTGTTCACAGATCTAAAATGTGAGGAGGAGCACATGTGTGTTTGTAAATAGGTAAGACCCACATGCATCCTGGCGTGTCTACACAGAGTGTTTGCAAAGACACGCTTTATGTTTGCAGTGCAGTGGCCAGCATGTCAGGCAA